TTCATCACAGAATGGGCCACGTGACCAGTTAAAGTGGTGACAAACTGTTGGCTCTGTCTATCAAAACGAAAAGTAGTTATTGGGGCTAAAAAAGGATTTACAGCCTATTAAACGTGCAAGAGGGCTGATCCAGTTTCCAGCGAGTCCATCATCAGCTGGGCTGATTCATAACCAGAACGTCCCAAGTGTGAAGTCAGTGAATCAGTGCTGGCCTAGTGCTAAACAAAGTGAGGCTGAAGGGACTGTGGAGACATCAGCACATCACATTTTATATTGGTTTTATTATAATGTTCTTCTAATAAGGAACAAAAGCACAGACACCAACCTCCTGATCTGCGGAGCAGTGGTGGTAGAGGAACTTTGTCTCAGCTTTTTAGTAGAAGAGGGGGTGAGAGAAAGGTGGACTTTGGAGGGCTTCGGGGGAGGGAGGATGGAGCAGTGTGAAGTCTTGGACAGGTTTAACCTGACACAGAAAACAAGAACACATATTTGTGTGTGTGTGTGTGATCCAAGAGCAAATACTAACCTTGATCCTTCACAAAAACAAGCACAGCGAACAATTTCTCTAAAAATTCTTCTGATGATTTCTACGCTCACTGCAGGAATCAACATCTGCACATACACTCTGTACAAGAGACATAATACAAATACGCTTCGACGTGTTGGTAGTACCTCGATTTAACTCATGTGGAAGTAGCCCAGTTCTTGGTTGTGTCAGGTTAGCAGTTTAGTGATGTTAGTTTACAGGAGAAGCCGGAAGCACGTTGTGAGTTTGGTTCGTGGTCGTCCTTCACTTTTGTTTCTTTTTGCCGCAGCTCCCATATCCCCGATTTGTAACTATTTACTTTTTACAAAATGTTTCTTGAACTATGGCAGCATCTTATATATCTTCTATATTTGGTGCCGTGGATTCAGGGACCAAAACAAAAACTGTAATGAGCAGAGGCATTATCTACTGATTGTGTGTCTGGCGGCAGCACCTCTCTCTGTGCAAACAAAGCGTGCGTTCTTTGTAGCATTCGACAACAGAGTCACTTATGTACTTGTTTTCTGACATCCACAAAAACATATTGGTGTCTATTATATCTCCTTGTTAATAGAAACTTTGTGTCCAGCGTTTGAGCTAATTCTCAACGTGTCTCTTGCACTGACCACAATAACCATTTATCATGAATTAAATTACAGCAATTGGTACCTTGAGCAGGATGACGCTGATCTCGGTGGGTGTTTCCCTACAGTGCTCTCAGTTTGTCTCCCTGTGTCAGACTGACTTCTTTGCAGTTATTCTGCACAGACACAGAAAGAAAGACACAATTAGCAGCATGAAAACACAACATTGTGATCATAACTCAGTAGCCTGTTTGAATTCTGCAGTAACCATTAAAAAAGGTCATGTTGATGCTATGAAGTCACACCGCTGACGTCATCCAAGCTATATGACTTGCAGAGCACGGTGTTGATTGACAGGTCATCCATGCTGGAAAGCAGCGAGGACACTGCCTCCTGTTCCCTCCCTGCACAGAGTCAGAGCGGTGAAGCTGCTGTTGCTGACTCAGTCTCTGTTGGACCAGCTTCTGTTTAGACCGATGCACGTCACCCTGAACCCACAAACTGTGCTGCTTCCTGCGCACAAACATCAAACACACGCTACAAACTAACTGTGATATCATGTTTAGCAGGTATAACATTCAACATCCTGGTTTAGCGTGTGAGTAGACACACAAAGCTAGTAGCCATTAGCAACAGAGCACTACTGTGGCGTAAGGAGGAAGTGTGCATCCAGAGCTGAGGAGAGAAACCAGCTGCAGCTGAACACTGTGACTGCAGTCTGCAGCAGTAACACAGTTTTCAGGCTTTTTTTTTAAAATTACATTTGATTCATCATCCACCAGTTTCCCACTGCTGCAGTCACCACCACCACCAGCTGCACATGGGCACACTGGGGAATGCCCCACCCTGACCTCCACCTTTTGCTTCTCTTCTAACTTTTACTACATTTCCAGCATGGAGAAACATCTTGTGTGGTAACAGCAATAGATGCCACAGCCTAAGGACAGACGGGCCTTGTTTGTCCAGCACATCTCACAGATGCTCGATGAGATCTGCCGAAGGTGACACCTCAAACCCTTCCTGATCTACTTGTGCTTTGTGTGAAGACTCCAGCGACACTCGAAGTATTAGTGAACAGCTGTACTCAGTGACCAACGCCTTTTGGGTCATTGCAAAATGTCAAACAGTTTGTGTTTAAATAAAAAAAACTGGAAACAGAAAAAGATCCAAGTGGACCAATCACACCTTCACAGGTAAACGCAATGACCCTGATGAAGGCCACTAACACGTTATTGTTCCCTAATACTCTGTCACTGGAGTCTTCACCTCATCAGATCTTTGCCTTCTCCGTGCACCTTGGAGGTGAAGTTGCTGTCTGCTTGTGTTTTGTGACATTATCCTAATGAAGTGTTGCAGACGTGTCTGTGTGCACAGCATTACTCCTGTACTTTCATGAACGGACTACAGCTTAATGATCGTCTCCGACCGAGACCTTTGGAGTCACGGAAAGTGGACCGTTTGGTTTGAGCGGTCACAGCTGAGGCACAAACTCACTCTTCTAAGAAGTTTTTCTGTGGACCGATGATAGATCCAGGTCTGCAGATTCTGATCCAAACAATCGCCTCGGCTGCAGTAAACCGGAAGTGCTTCATCAGGTAGCAGCCAATCAGAGTCCCCGTGCGGCCTAATCCAGCTGTAAATGGACGGAGTGTTTAAAGAGACAAAGTTAAGATAAAAGAAATAAATGACATCAATTAAACATACATAAACACTTGCAGTCCTACCTTTACAGTGCACTGCCACTGCCCCGTCTGTACATTCACACACATGCAGAAAGCATCTGACGATGAGGTCAGAGGGCGTGGTCCCATCAAGAAAGAAGAGGTCGTGGTGCTCAAATCCTGCATCCTCAAACCGCCTGCCATCATACAACTTCCTGTTCAGACGAACCACGGTCGTTACGTCATTTTGGTAAAAGTATGAGAAGTATGCCTCGGGTGTGTGGAGGGGATAACCTGGAGACAGAGTCAACAACAGCTGAGTTACGTCATACGTTTCAATCAGCGAGCGTCTGTTTTTAATGCAAACGTAAAATAAGATTCAATGACGTAGTGTCAGCTGATTTATATTGTAAGGTAAAGACGTTAAATACAGAGAAAACCCCAACCATCGAAGGGCCCCAAGCACCTGCTGACAGTGGAAAAGAAAAACTCCCTTTTAACAAGAACCAGGCTAAGGGAGGGGGGGCAATCTGCCACATATGGTCGGGGTGAGGGGAGGACAACAGGACAAGAGATGGACTGGAAGAGAGCCAGAGGTGAATAATAACTACGTGCAAAGTGGTGTAAATACACAAAGTAAAAAGGGCTGAGTGATGAAGAAGCATGAGTGCATCATGGGAAACCCCGAGCCACTGCAGGGTTCAGGCTCATCTAATCCAGCCGTAACAACATGACAACTCACACATGACAGCACTAAGCAGGAAACAATACACGCCATCAGATAACAGTAGGGTAAGGTTAGCTCTTCTCAGCTGTTTCAGGACGTGCAGGCACTGAGGGGCTGCAGAGGCCTTCTGTCAGGCCAAGCAACATGAGCACTGATGTTGTTTGGAGGCATGCTTTTAGCTTTTAGCTTTGAGATTCTGACTCACCATTTTCTATCTTACCACGAGAATGAGGGCTACTGAACGCCAGAATTTTTCCCGGAACGATCCAGTTCATATCTCCATTTTCAACTCGCTAAAAGCACAAAAAGAAAGGAAAGAAAGACTGTGATAGAGGTTAACGACATATCAGTTAAAAACATTGGCTCCAGAACACCTTAATTATACCACCACTGCAGTAATGAGGGATTAATAAAGTTCTATCTTATCTTATCTTATCTTACATACGGTCTGTTTTGGGGGGCTTTTACCTTTCATTCGAAATCAGTTTTGTTGTAGTGGACACAGGTGAGCTGACTTTTACTTCACTGAGGTGGTACTCACTGACTGTCTATCACTTGGACGGAGTGAGTTATGGATCAATCTAACTGAGAAACTGAGAAAATACAGCGTGCACCAACGCAGGCCTGGACATGCACCGTACGAGCCCTTGGTTGGCCCTGACTGTGTTACTAACAGCACTGCAAATTAATTGGATGAATAACAACCGTACGTTATTTATTTCTTACGGTATCCTGGTCCTGTTTTCATTGATATAGACCTGTAGAACAGTCAGCACTCTGCAGTCTGTTACCTCATAATGTTCATATTCTTCTGCACTGAACCTTTCAAAATCCAGGAAACCATGTTGTAATGCCTGCAGAGGAAAAGAGCAGAAA